AAAAGTCTACAATATTAAGGCTAAATAGCGGAAAAATATGCAATAATCCATGCAATTAAAAATATCTATCAAATTAACTTCAAAAATCATGATTTGGGAATTATATCTATTCAGGCAATCAACCCATAATTTAGTGACAGATCTTGGGATTGGTGTACTACAAAACTATATTGACTGAAGTTTTGGAAAAATTTAGCCAACTCAGTTTTGAAGGATTTTATTAGGTCCAGTTCACATGAGACTGGAACGAAGTCAATTAACCGGGACCATTTCGTTTTGGTCATTAGATTATATATAATAGATGTTTACATGAGGTCTCAAGTCATTCCGCCTGCTGGACCAAGCCGACTGACTCAGACCACTATGAATTCAGACTGGAATGAATGTTGACATTGGAACAAGTGAACAACACATGCTAACAAAAGTCATCTAAAAAAGAAAATTGCCTGGCAAGGGGAATAAATTGAAAATTTTGTGATTTTCATACTGGTCTCATGTAAACATGTTGACATGCAATTTCAATTTTCATTCCAGGTTGGTTTCATCCTGGTCTCATGTAAATGGGGCCTTACAAACTGTGATTCAGTATCATGGGATGAGATTAGGGGCCTGTTTATATGATCCCGGCCAGGCAGGACAGGATGCTTACCGAGATCCCGCTCGTAATACAAATGCTAAAGAGTGTTTATATGATCCCGCCACTTATCCCGCCTAGACTGGATTTCGGCAACAGATGCCGGGATCCTGCCTAAGCGAGATGAAAAATTCCCATATAAAAACACTTCATCCCGCCTAGCCGGGATGAAAAATTCCCATATAAACACTTCATCCCGGTTAGGCGGAATGAATTTTTCCCTTTTGGGCATGCGTAAATGCCTTTATTGCAACAAAAATATGACGTCAAGCACCGAATGGTTTCATCCCGGCAATGAATTTTGTCCATATAAACACAGGCGAGTACCCTGTCTTGGCGGGATGAAAACGTCCCATCCCATCTAGGCGGGATCATATAAACAGGCCCTAAGGAATTGAAAGATTTTATAAGCGAGCAATGCTTAAAAGCAAGATATATAAACAATGAAAGAAATGGCACTAGCAGAGCCACAACTTCTCCAGAAGTGTAAAATTCCATGATACTGAATCACAGTTTGCAAGTCAATCCTTCAAAATTTAGTTAAATGTTTCCAAAACTTCAGTCAATATAGTTTTGTAGTACACCCATCTTAAGGGTTCCTTTCAGCTTTCACCTTGCCAAGACCTGTCACTAAATTATGGGTTGCCAGAATAGATATAATTCCTCAAATCATGATTGGTCATGATTTTTGAAGTTAATTTGATAGATATTTTTAATTGCATGGATTATTGGGTCATATTTTTCTGCTATTTAGCCTTATTAAAATATTGTAGACTTTTTTTAGGAAAGGAAGTGCAAACAAGCGCATACAATAGCAATTCTTCTTCGACTAATGGGCAACCATGCACTTCTAAATAGCAAGGAAGCTGAATGACTGTAGGGGTATGGATAGCTTTTTCATGGGCTCTGCTCAGTTTGTATGTTGTAACTTATGTCGAGCCATTGCAAGTGAATTTAACAAAGGCCAGTAAACAAAATTGACAAAAATATACACGATAAAGTTGCACATTTCAGCTTGGAGTTTGGTACTATTTCAACTGTCAATTCGACATCGAACTTTGAAAGGTTCAAAACCTATCTGTCTCATATTTGATCACTCTATAATTTTGTCTACGCAAAAGTTTTCATCATAACTTAATAACAAATTATAATTTAGGTTTTGGAAATCATTGGGTTTTTATCAGGAAGCAGTGCGCGCTAACACTCTCTTACAACATTTCGACGGCCATTTTTAAACACCAAATTAAACAAAGTATAGAAATAAAATAACACTCGAAATAAAGTTTTTGGTTACTTAAATCTTATGTTTAAGTTTCTTATAATAGCTAAAAGTAACAAAAACATATAAATTTTACACAAGTAATATTTTATAAAGCAATAGTTTCAGCATACCTTCTTATGGGTCATATACGCGTAGCCATATTTGTTTACAATTAGAACGTCTTACCCCCCGCGAAGCCCGCATCACGGATGGGTCCGCTCGATGTATGGCCGTTTCTACGCCCTCTCTCCCTTCGCCCTGTTGTGAAACCTAAAGAGTAAATACTTTCTTATACAGAAGAGGTAAGATTTTTAAATTCCAACGGTTTAAATTATATTTAAGCACGGATATACCGCTAGTTGCTGTGCCCTTGTTGGCTGCACCAATGAAGAAAGTATCTGAGGTGCCCCTTGGGAAAGTCTAGCAACGAACTGAGGTGGTGTAGCCGCCAAAGTTTATTTCTCCTACAATAAATAAGATGCTAAAGATGCTTTCTGTGTGTAATTTAGTGATTTGTTTGAAAAGCGCCAATTATCGGAATCCGAAGAATTGAGGTAAGATTTTTTATTATTGTTGAATCATTTTAGATAATGTAATGTAATGTGAAGGGATCGTTTGTTGATCTACCAAGTAGTTGCTGTGCCTTTGTTGGCTGCACCCATGAAGAAATTATCTGAGGTGCCCCTTGGGAAAGTCTAGCAACAAACTTGGTGGTGGTTTAGCCGGCAAAGTTTAAAAATTGCGCATGCGCGATACAAATTCTATTCAGTACTTCTGAAGATACTGAAGGTTTTCTCTATATATTTAGTGATTTGATTGAAAAGCGTCAATTATCGAAGTCGAAAGCCGAAGAATTCTTGTATTGAGGTAAGACATTTGAAAGTTCAACTACTTTGGGTAATATAAAATCGCTTGTTAGCTTGTCAAGTTGTTGCTGTGCCCTTGTTGGCTGCACCCATGAAGAAATTATCTGAGGTGCCCCTTGGGAAAGTCTAGCAATGAACCGGTTTATAGTTGTTGCAGTTGACGACAACGTCTTGTCATAAGAAGCTTTCATAGCAGTTTACTTATGTAGAATTATATATTGAGGTCACGACAGTAATTTAGTATTATTTTCCCTCTATTTGCAGAATGGGATACACCTGCAAGGTTTGTTCAAAAAAGTTCACACAGCTGAGAAGTTTAACTCGTCACGAACGGTCTATTCATGGAGAAAAAAGGTTTTGTTGTGATCAGTGTAGTCAGTCTTTTACACGAAAAGATGATTTAAGGAGACATCAGAAGCGACACGAAAGAACTGTTAGTCATACCTGTAACAACTGCAGAAAAGAGTTTTACCGTCGTGATAAGTTGGTGGAACATCAAATGCATTGCCAAGGGAACCCTTTGAAAAGAGGACATGACGAAGACGATAGCAGTCCAGCCCCAACGAAAGCACGAATTGATGTTCAAATTGGAGAAGGCGAACTAGACAGCCAAGTTGAAGGAAATGACAACCCTTGCAGTTCAACAACAGCTTTTGAAGATTCCTTGAAGAAAGTCGTACTGAAACCTCGAAAAGATCAAAAGCAAGATATGTCTCACTTCTTACGTGGCAAGACAAAACCCATGTTGAATCACCTTTCGAAAGAGTTGGTAGAGAAAAGAGGCATCAAATGGTTCATCAACGTCAAAGTGCGGTTTACTAAACCTAAACCCGATGGTGAAGATCTGGTCACCGAACCCCACTTCCGCAGTCACTGCATGAAAACGGTAAACCAGCATGAACTCGTTAACCAATTAGACGAAGCCAAGCAGAAAATTACCCAGTCGTTCGTTGTATTTCAAAAAGAAGGAAGTGGTTGGGTATTAGACGAAATCCTTCATCTTGACCTGAACCTGGCTCATTCTGCTCCAGTAAAAGGATCCAATTATGTTCCTCTTGCCAGCAAGCTAAAGACTAAGAAAGCTATTATCAACATCAAGAATTCTGACAACAAGTGTTTCATGTGGTCTGTTCTCGCCAGTATCCATGAAGTACCTCTCCTCGACAGTTTCAAAATGAATTAGATTTTACTGGTATAGAATTTCCAGTTACTGTTGACAAGATTGGAAAATTCGAACATCAGAACAACATCTCAGTGAACGTGTTTGGCTTTGAAGATGTACTCTTTCCCCTATACATCACAAAAGAACACTTTAATACCCACGTGAATCTATTACTATACTCCCAGGGAACAACCAGACATTTCTGTCTCATCAAAGATCTGAATAAGTTCCTCTACAGTCAAAACCGGAAAAAGGCTCGAATGTTCTATTGCCGGTACTGTTTACATGGATTTATCAGAGAAAACCTACTCCAAGATCACGAGCCCCACTGCTCACAACATGGTCCACAGCGTATCGAGCTCCCAGACGAGGACAATGCAACGCTGTTTTTTAAAGATTATCATAAACAGTTGAAAGTGCCCTTTGCGATCTACGCCGACTTCGAAAGTCTTACAACAAAGATTGACTCAACCCAACCTAATCCTGAAAAATCCTTTACTGAAAAATATCGGCACCATCAACCTTGTGGATTTTCATACATCGTAGTGTCTGACTATGACAAGCATTCCAAATCACCTGTTGTTTATCGTGGAGAAGATGCAGTCGATAAGTTTCTGGAGTGTTTAGAAGAAGAGCAAAAATATATTCAAGAAAAACTTGATTTCGTCGAGCCAATGCGAATTGAAAGAGATGAAGAGCAGGCGTTTCAAGATGCAGTCAATTGTCATATCTGTG